ATCATCACGCAACCTGTCAAAAATACTAACGCTAACACTCTCTGTTCCTTCCTATCTGACATCTTTTCCCAGATCGGAACCTGCAACCTCATCCACTCCGACAGAGCCGCAGTCTTCTTCTCAAATGCATACAAGCGCTTCATCCGCGCAAATCAAATTGAAGTTCACATAGCCCAGCCATCACACCCTGAAGGTAATGGTTGCTGCAAACGCGCTACAAAAACTCTCAATCATATTCTCTCAAAAATCACACCCACACCTCACAATTGGGACCTCCATCTTGCAGAAGCCACCCGCACTTACAACTTTACACCTCACTCTACTACCCAACTCTCTCCAGTAAATCTCTTTAAGCGAAAACCTATCCCCCTCCCTGCTGACATTGAACACAATGTCACCCCTCCCGACATATCAAAAAAGCTCACAGAAGTTCAACAAACCATCACAAAATCTCGTGAATCTTATTGCGCACAAGCCAATAAAACTAAATATGAACACTTCTCTGTTGGGCAATATGTTACAATTCTCCCCTGACTACCAACAACTCTCTGTCACGCAGCTCACCGCTGTTTTCTCCCTAAATGTTTACGACCATATCAAGTCCACTCAAATCAAGGCCAAGGCCTATACATTCTCAAAACCCCAACTGGTCTCTGCAAAGCACAAGCTTGGGAATTACAACCATACAATAGTCCTCACATGCCTTCTCCCTCTCCAAATCCCAAACTCAAATCTGCTGATCTCACAGCTAATACTTCTCATATATCTACAGGAGAACATCTCTACAGGGAATGCTCACCCAGTCTCAGCTCTGGACCCACTGCCAGTCCCGCAACCAGCTCAGCTCCCTCCGCCACCCAAGAAATGGACCTTGACTGCGACAACGACAGCCTCCTTGCTGCCAAAGATGCCCTGTATCTTGACAAAAATGGCAGCCTTGCCGCCATCAACCTTTTTGACAAAGAAGCCCTCCTCGCCAACCCGCCCGGAGCAGAAGAAGACGTCACCTCCACCTAAATCATGCAAACTATTCAAATTAAAAACTCCGTTTGGTATTGCTCCTTTTTGCCCGCAAAAGCTTACTTGTGAAAATTGTCTCAAAACTTGTCCTCCAACTCCCCCAGCGCTTTTTCCGGGGGGGGGGGGAGAGTAAGCGCTGGCAACACCTATGTTGCCCCGCGCTCACTAATTTCCTTTTGGTGCGCTCTCGCATCCTTCATCGTAATGGCGGCCAGCTAGCACAAGCCAGCCAGCCAGCCACAGGAGCCCCACTCTGCTACGAGCTCTTGAACAGGCAACATCTCCATAGCCAACCCGACTCCTAAGTCTACTATCTCGTTATTATGCAAAACCAAAGTGAACTCTGTTCTAATAATTTTTGTGAAGATCCTTAGTGCTCAACGTGAAGAATAAACCCTCTGTATATTTCCCACAGAGTGTGTGTACCTTCAATCAAAACACCACGCGGATCTCTCACTGTAGGTGATTGGGAAGGTGATTGGATTAAGGATAGGGAGATAGTTGCTAATTGCTATTGATTGTCACTAATCCTAGCCAGGTTCTGTTGCATCAATGCTGCTGTGGATGAGAGGGATTAGCCCTCCAAGGTGGCTCAAGCAAGCTTTACAATTACATCAATTTTGGGGGCTTGTGCCTGATTGAGTGATATTCTTAGTGACATCTCTTGAAGGTTCCAATCCCTTGAAAATGGCTGAAGCTGGTGGCGAATTGCCAGTGGATTCAAATGTGGCAGCAGTGGCAGTGGAAAATAATGGTGGCAACTCTTCAAAAGGTACCACTCCATTGAGGCATATTATTGAATCCATTCAAGAGCTCCTTTTAGCCATGCATGACAATCTTGAGCATCAAAGCTCTGATGAAGAAGAGAAGATGCTAGCCTATTTAAAGGCATTACTGGAAAAAGGAAGGGTAAGGGAAGTTCATTTGAACAACCATTTGGGGCGTCCTTCAGATATAGTGCATGATCAATGCAAGTGGGGAAGCTTATATCAAAAGGGTTCACGCTATTTTGATGAGGGCCCACAGCATGATGGAAAGTCTGAGGTGCTTTGCCTGGTGCCCTGAACATGGACCTTAATTGAATATCTAAGAATGGGAGTGTCCACTCAGGCAAACAAAGCAAAGGAACTAGGTCTTCCAGTAGAAAGGAATTAAATGTTAAGACTGTTCTGGCTAACCTCCTTTGCTACACTGAGGGGTGAAGGCCACAATTTTTCAACTGGAAGAACAAGGCAATGGTTTTAATGGTGATGATGTCTGAATTTAGAAGGCTATTGGCTGTGCTTCTGAAACATTGAGGCAGGCATACAAAGATGATGTCTCTTTTAATTACATGCATGAATTTAAAAGCATGTTTTGAGCAAGAAAAGAACTTGATTGTATTTTGAGAAAGGCAAGGCACAAGCTGCATCAAGGAGTGATGGATGAGATCCCCAGATTGGGAGATGAAGAAAGGATTTATGTCAAACCATTGCCACATGATAAGAGCATTGCCAATGCTAAACGTCAACATTAAAATCATGAAAATGCTCATTTTAGTGTTGAAAATAGTGACGCGCGTAGTAATATTGATGAAATTTCTTTGCATATGAATGTTGCTTTACCTCCCTTAGGTTCTAATGGAAATCAAGGAAATGAAATGGCTAGAGCCTGCTGTGGGGGACCAACTTCAAACCAACATCAATGTTTGGGTAGAAATTTAATTGGCCCAAAGATTGACCTGAAATCATTTAATGGTGACATAAGTCAGTTCCACTCCTTTTTAGTGGGAATTTGCGCATGTGTAGCTCAAATTCAATCAAGGCCTTACAAGTTTGTTGTTCTGAAAACATAATTGAAAGGAGGACCATTGAAATTAATGGAAAATGTAAATTTCAACGTGAATTTCAAATATTGGGCCTGTTCAAAGAATCCAACACAAACATTATATGCCCTTCCCATTCCACTGCATGCACAAAATTTACAGCAGACACCTGAGCTTGTGAGTGGACAGCAGCATATTGAATAGAACAGCAATGCATCATCAAAAGGACATTTTGCTTCATTTTATGAAGGTCTTGATGAACTTGATGGAAGTATGCATCCTCTTACTTGATTACTTCATCCAGTGCATTGATGAAAAGTAACCAGAATACTTGTTTTTGCAGGTACAGAGGGGCACATTGTACAAGGAGATCCAATTTATTCTGAATCCTGTGTATATGATCGGAACAAAACTCTAACTGAACTCAGAAACACCATCACACAAGTTAAGAATATTAAAAGGTATTATAAACAGGGACTTGGAGCAGGGTAAAAAAAAATTTTGCTCCGCTCCGCTCCGCTCCAGACAAAATCCAGTGCTCCGGGCTCCGGGCTGGTGCTCTGCTCCGGAGCTCCGGACTCTTTTCACCATAACAATAACATAATTTTTTCATCATTTTTTTGCAATACACTAACAATTTTTTCTCGGTCCCAGCACTTGTTCCACAGGAACAATGCTATGAAGATTTTATTTTTACAAACTAATTTTTATCAATAATCTCATTATATAGATTTTTAATTACAGTATAAATTTGTGCTGTATAGGTAATACAAATTTTTTTAATTTTGTCACAGACTAGGAAAATCTGACCTGAATGTATAGTAATAAAACTTCATCACAATAGGGTATGGGAATTATAATCTTTGAGAATTTATATTCAGCTATAATATAGGTTTATATTCAGCTATAATATAGGTTTATATTCAGCTATAATATAGGTTTATATTCAGCTATAATATAGGTAGTGGCCCATATGGGCCACTACCTATATTAAAGAGGTTTCTGTAAAAGCATTATCTGAGGAAGACTTTTTCTGGTCCCCTGCATCTTCATAGATAGAATAGTGATCCCCAACTCATGGCCCACAGACCAGTGCCAGTCTGCAGAAGTTTTTTTCAGTTATCAGGAAATTTTCCTTTGCATAATAAATCAAAAGGAGCAGTGAAGTCCGCTATTTTTATCTGAAATTTCAGAAAGATAATTTCAGTTTGAATTAATGATGAAAAATAAAAGTTGGATTTTCTTCTAATAATACTTCAGACAAAATTTCACCTGCTGAAACAAATTATTTTGATTTTTAATCAGAGAAACCTTTCTTTAAGCTGACTTCTCTAAATTTTTGAAGACATTCCACTGTACTGTAGCTGCAACATTGGTTCTTGGCTTAATTTTTTCAATCAAGCAAACTTTTTAAATACCTCCCATGAAGTCTTTCAAGCAAAACATTTTTGAGTCTGCAAATATGAAACTTTGCCAATGTGCAGAAATTATTTTTGAAACGTGCCAGTCCACAAAAAAAATTTTCTGAAAATGTCTTGGTCTGTGGGGCAAAAACATTTGGGGGACACTGGTCCAGACTAGTGAGTATGAAGTGTCCACCTTTACTGCAGTAGAGTAACCAGGGGATGCATATTTCCAGCAAGATGTTAATGACTTATTCAAGGGGAGGAACTACTCTTGGCTGGCACCAGCCAAACTATAATGTGTATATGGTGGAATTACTTTGGAAGACCTGTAGGCAACTCTTGGAATTAATGCTACGTTGATTTCAAGAATTCTGAGAGGAAAGCTGGGCTACAAAAGCAAAATCTGCAGGAAGGGCGCCTCATCTTTTGAGTGGAACTCTGCCAGGGTGACTTTTGCAAAACATTCAAAAAATGTGTCAGGGCTGACTTTTTTCTTGTGCTAAAGAACAAATTTTCCCAAAGAATAATTGTTTTTCAGCTCATGTGTAGGCCTTCTCAAATTATATTCCAAGAACTTTTGTTAGACCCCTTGTATATCTCACAAACTAACCCAGTTTTTAGATTTCATTGAAAAATAAATACAACTTAACCAGCATGGGATACTTGTGTAGAACACAAGCATCCACATCTTTGAGGATGTTGAGAAAAACATGGATTCAGGATAACCCTTCTCTCAACCTAATAATAATTGAGCAACAAGGGAAGAATGTTCAGGGTTTGAGGACTTGGCTGCCTTGGAGGGAGGTAGTTTTGTTGACTGGTGCCAGCCAAACAGTCACATATGTCTGGGGGTTCTCCCCAAATTTTTCAAATTTTATTTGAGGCTTGGAGCCCGGAGCAGCCAAAAATTTTGCCTGCTCCGGGCTCCGCTCCGCTCCGGCTAAAATTGCTCTGCTCCGGGCTCCAGGCTCCGGGCTCCGGCTCCGCTCCAAGTCCCTGATTATAAAAAAGAATTAATACAATTTTGTTGAGTGTAAGAACTAAGGGCTTATCCAAATTAATTGGGAGCAATAACTCTTCAACATGATGGAAAGTGTCATGCGGCATTTGCTATTCTTGGCCTTCTCATCTGTGATTGTGGGGCTTTTGATTGGATAGCCTAATGTGGATTCTGGTGCATTTGTACTCACTGAGGCTCCCCCAACCTGGTCTACAACTGGTCCTGTACTGCTCAAAAATCATGCCCAAGCTCCATCAGTGGATGCATGTGTCTCAGAGCAAGACACAAGGAGGAAGTTCAAGGTGCTTCAGGGGACGGGTTATCAGCAAAATTTGCGGAATATCTGCTGTGGGCTTCTGCTGTCTGCCCATGACAGATTTTGTGAGTGAAAAAAACTCAATTCAGGCACATTCACAAAGCTCCGTGACACCAATTAAAACCAAGAGAGCAAATTAATCTTCTCATTATGCATTTTGAGGGAAAAGCAAAACTGTCCTGCATACAATATAAAGGAAGAAACACAGATAACGACTATCTCAGAATGTTACATACCATGTTTGATGAATACGGTAATGTACACAAATTAAGGGATCAAATAATTAAGGAAAACAAAAATCTACCAGCTGCAAATGGCACCTTTGAAGAAGCTGGCGCATACATGTCAGAAGTTGTAGACAGAGTTCTTTGTCTAACTAATTTGAGTATGAGCCAAAAAGAAACTCACACAAAAATTTGGCCCTCAATTGTCAAACATTTAAAACATCAAACCTTCTTAGATACTTGAGCTAATTCAATGTGTTTATCCGATGATGTCACCAAAGAGATTCTTGAAGAGTGGGAAGAGTTCCCAGAAAATTGCTAGAGATAGATGAAGAACTATTTCAATGATTCAGCCAAAACAAATAAACATGATTACAACAAAAAGTTACTCATGTTCCAAGTTAAAGAAACTTTGCAACCAAATCAAAATACTTCTAAGCCAACAAGGGATACTCAACCAATACCTAACAAACCACCCCCAACATACAATACAGAAGAAGTTCAGATTATTCAAGAGAGGCAAACAATACCTAATCCTCAAGAAAATCCTGAACAACCCAAATCCCTTGAAAAGGAAAAACGAACCACCAATACAGTTAGTCAAGATATCCTACGTAGTTCAAATCAATGCCTATATTGCAATGGAACTCAGTCTTTTTGATTGTACAAAAACACCATCAGAGAAACAAAACATTCTGATACAACTGGAATTATGCCTCAATTGTTCAAAGGGAGGTCATAAGACCTTTGACTGTCAAAATAACTTCCATTGCAAGAAATGTGGCAAACATCACACCTCTATGTGCAATCCCAATTACATTGCACAAAGAAATCAACAAAACTTCCAACGCCATCCAAACAGATTTGGAAATAGATTTCACCCATACAAACAAGAAATATCCACACAAATTCTTGTGTGGATAAATGAAAGACAAATGGCTGGAGACATCACTATATTGCATATCATATGTGAAAAGGCATGTGTATTATACAATGAACTGAGCAAAGTGAATCCTGGAACTAGTGCACAAAAGACTGAAGAGTTCAGAGCAAGCAGGGGATGCTTCTTCAGGTTTAAAAGGAAAACTGGAATCCACAGTGTGGTGATGCATGGTGAGGCTGCCAGTGCAGATGAACAAGAAGCAGATAATTTTGGCAAACATTGCCAGATATGTTTCAGTGAGGAATGGTTATTGTGCACAACAAAATTCCAACTGTGATGAAACAGTGTTTTTCTTTTAAAAAAATATACCAAACAAAACTTTCATCACTCAAGAGGAGCTCAAATTCCCAGGACACAAAGCAATGAAGGACAGCGTAACAATCTTTGTAAGGGCAAACCTGAGTGGTGACTTCAAACTGAAACCCATGCTTGTTGATCACCCAGGGAGTCCAAGGGCATTCCAGGAAAAACAGCATCATTAAATCAAAGCTACCTGTAATTTGGACAGCCAAGAGGATAGCTTGGGTGACTCAGTTGATTTTTAATCAATGGATTCTTCCAGTCTTTGCTCCAACCATTGCCTGGGAACAAATTGTGGTAGCTAGGAAAGGTACCACTGTATTGAAAAGTTCATGCTGTCTCTTGATTGTTTCATGCAGAGAAAAGGGCAAACACAAATCATTTGGAGTGATTGTGGGACTGCGTTTGTGGCAGGAGAAAAGAAAGCTGCCAAAATGCATTGCTGATCAATGTTCTTCTGAGTGGTGCATTGAATTGAAAACCAACCCCCCAGGATCCTCCATGGGGCAGATCATGGGGAAGAATGATTAGTGACATTAAGCATTGCTTAGGACACTGCATTTGAGAGAAAGGGTGGACAATTGATGTTATGGAAATGTTCCTTCGAGTTGAAGCTATTGTAAACAAGGGTCCTTCATATACTCATGATTCTGAATATGCTTAAACCCCAGCCTCGCTCCTTCAATCCCATTGGTCCATATACTGCAATGCCAGCTCATTTGGTTCCAGCATGAAGATGCTGCAGCACATAGGCAAAATGGAGAGGCATTTTTGGCACATACATGTTCTTGAAGGCAGAAAGAGGGACAAGGAAGAAATTGGTTCATTCAACTTAGTATTAATGACCTTGTTGTTGTTGACAATAGAGGATCCAATGCCTTGACAAATGTTTGGGTCATTTACTGTGCACAAACTGCATAACCACCTGAGTACTTCAGGTCCCTTCTTAATGGGAAATATAAAAACACCCCTTGATGAATTAAAAAGATTGTAGGTAACAGATGCTTAGTATAAGTATCTATTGCCTGTTCCAGCAATAAATTCATTCATCTACATCTAGAAACAAGGCTTTTGAAGTCACTGTTTGTACCAAAAGCCTGTGCATCAGTGAGATAACAATCTGGCATGAAGGTTTTCCATTCTTATCACCAAANAAAGATTGTAGGTAACAGATGCTTAGTATAAGTATCTATTGCCTGTTCCAGCAATAAATTCATTCATCTACATCTAGAAACAAGGCTTTTGAAGTCACTGTTTGTACCAAAAGCCTGTGCATCAGTGAGATAACAATCTGGCATGAAGGTTTTCCATTCTTATCACCAAAAAATAGTTAGGCTTAGTAAAGTGAGAATATCTCAAGATCTGTCAATGGGATCAATTTTTATATGATACAAGAAAAGTTGAAGAACATCTTTTCCTTTAATTCAAGACGTTGTGGAATTTTCAAAGGGAAAAATTCGCGTAGTTATTTGCTTTGGAAGTTTGGGCATTGGGAATTGTGCCAAAAGCAAAGCATATCTTCTTTGCTGATTTTATTTTTCTTTCTTTCTGAAAAAGTGAGTTCTCTTTCTTTCTGAAAGTGAGTTTTTATTGCACAATGCAAGATTGTATTTGCTGATTGAGTGTGACTGTTGTCTTCATGAAACCTGTGATCAGAGACGATAATAAGAGTCCTCTTTTGACATCCAAGGAGTTCAGATGCTCCAGCTTCTCTTATTTTCGGTAGCTATGATGTAGTTTTGTAATTTTAAAATTTAATTCCCTTGGAAGCTTGGTTTACTGCCTCAGCACTCACATGTCTCTTGCATCTGGAATGTTTTTCAATGCAGCTTAAAATCTGCAATGATTGCCACATATTTTGTACATTGTGATGATGATGGGAAAAGAACTTTCCAACAACATGATTGTGCAGGCACCCCCCTGGTCTGTCTGTGGCATCCTTTAGTGACATAACAAAATTCACTGTAATTTGGTCTAGTGGCAACATTTACCATGCGTACTAGTAGGCAGTGCTGCAAAATTTCATGCTGATATCCACAACAAAGATTTTCTTTGGTTTACAGTTGATCATATAAAAGGTGAAGTAACACATTCCCATATAAATGCTTTGCATTTAAGACGGATTGGACAAACAAATACCCTGAATTTTCTCAGCAATCAGTTCATCAGATTATCAGGAATAAATAAACATATATATTTTCTTTCATCTATGCAGGTTAGTGCAATGGGCTTCACTCTGTCCATGTGCCATATACGGTGTTCGAACGTACAAAATAGATCCTTCACGTCCACCTCCTCCTCCTTCGACATCTTCGGGGATCACACCGGATGAAGATCTGGTAACATTACGCACAGTTTGCCCTTGAACTACATAGGGTACATTGCTAGCAACCACATTTCCAAAGGGGGCAACACCCTGACTGGTTGCCAATGAGGTCCGCTGGGTGGGTTCCTGAATAACCTGGGTCTTGGACACATTATGTGGCTGAGCTAAAACCGTTTGGCCCGACGGCGGGGGAGTGCTTCTAGGGGCAGTGGATGATTTTTTCTGGCGCATGAGCACGCAAACTGCGCAAGCACCAAGCAGCAGGAGCAGGGTGATGGCCAAAATTGGGATTAAAATCTATGAGCAGATATCAAGGAGAATATTTTGCTTTTACAGTGCAGAATTATTCCTTGGCAGTTGAACGTAATAACTGCGCAAGCACCAAGCAGCAGGAGCAGGGTGATGGCCAAAATTGGGATTAAAATCTATGAGCAGATATCAAGGAGAATATTTTGCTTTTACAGTGCAGAATTATTCCTTGCCAGTTGAACGTAAAATAGCTCACCCACAGTAGGTTTCCCTGACCTGCTGCTCCCACAACTTCCCTAAAAGTAGGACCTCCCATGTTACATGTTGGGCCCCAGGTGAGATCTTCAGCAGGACCAGCTAATTTGGTTGGTAAAACTGGTGTGCACGCATCAGTTACGCGGAATTCCTTGATCAGCTTTTGACCTGGAACCAGGCTGACCGCTGTGGCCTGTCTTTTACTCAGAGAATCACTAAGGTTTTCCTTCTCCGACTCCAAGGATCCATTCAGTGCCAAGTCCAGGTTAGCGCTGAAATTCTTCTGGGACTCCATGAATTAGGTTGGAGAACAGGCCTCAAATGATGATTGAAATATTTGTCATTTGGGATGAGGGAAAACTTTGTGTACCCAATATGGAGGCATTAATTTACACAGGAATATTAATTTCATCAATGATTAAGAGGCATTCTTTTTGACTTTCAAAAAGCTTTAACTCACGGGTACAATCAGCCCACTGAATGTTTGTTTTCAGCAGGTTTTTTTTTCTTTATAGGGATTAACTGCAGGACGTGGGAAAATAAAGATGGTCTGAACCTTCATGAAGTAAGGGTAGACAATAGGATCTGTCTTGTCAATCCACCATAGTTCCCCTGCACCCCAGGCACACAAAAAAATAATAATAAAAAAATAAATAAATAAATAAAGATAAAAAATACTGTGAAATTGGAATTCATAAAAGTCACTGGACTCAGGAACTGGCTTAGACTTGTCTGCGCTCACATGTGCCAGAAGAAGAAGGCATGTTCAACTAAACAGGACACTGCCTAGCCCTACAAATAAATCTAGAAGGGGTGGGTAAAGTTAGCATTGAATTTCATGGCAACTGGGAAAGGGTTTTGCTGGCTGGTAACATCCGAGTTTGTCTGGCCCAAACTTCAGTCTTGTGTGTCTGAATTTTAGTAGGACCAGAAAGATTTTCTTTCTTGTAATGATGTACTGCAGTACTGCTACTGCGTCTAAAGTTAGGGTATCTGTGTCAGCAAAGGGATTTTCCCATACCTAGGCAAAGTTTTTTTCAGCTTCTGCCACTGCAGTCAAATATATTTACAAGATGAGCATTTGATGATCCTCTTTCCCAACTACGGAACTAATCCCAACTACTGAAATGGGGATCACCACAAACAATTGTCACAGCCCAGGAAGCAAAATTTTCGCGCAAACCAGCATACGGACAACGGTGTAATCCACCTCCTGGTTTAACCCACCTGATGGCTACTAAATCCCCCTAATCACCCAGCCCCTATTCATGCCATTTTCCCCGCGTCTGGTGGGTCACTTTCTTCAAATTGAAGACATGGAACACCTTCAATATTTATAAAACTTTAAAAATATTCATTCACATTGACTTTGAATTTTTTCGAAGAACTAAGTAAATTGATACCAAACAATGGATGCATCCATTATTCTTTCTCAAAAAATCCAGTTCACACTTCTGCATGCATTTGACAAAGTTATATGGAAATTGCAGAACTGGATCTTCCCTGAATACTCTTTTTTCCATTGATACCTAGCTTCCTGTTCCAAAGGAAAATCCAGTTCACATTCTTCAGAACTGGATTTTCCAGGAAAATCCTGGAGTATTTTTTTTTCATGGATGCCTAGCTTCCTGGAATGAATGCATCATTTCCTTCCATTTATTCCTCTAGCCCAGATGTGTGCAGAAATAGCAGCCACAGCTACTATTTCAAAATCTCGTAGCATTCAGAACTTTTTGAATTAAAAAAGGTGCTTTCATTATACTTATCATTGAAATCCTATTGAACATTCTGATAGGAATCTGACAATATGAAATTCAGTATCACTATTGACCTGCATTAAGACTTCTTCAACAATGTAATCCAAGTTTGAAATTTTCAAATTTGTTGAGCAATTATTTGGTTTGCATTAAATGGAAACCTAAGTTATATTTTCATTTCTCCAAAATCAAATATCATTCCCAGTTGTTTTTTTTTCTTATTCAGCTTGTCATGGAGTGTCCAAAAGTTGAGGTGCGCAGGAAACAGGGAGGTTTCTTTATTGGTGGTTACATTTACTGAAAGCATTTAGAAAGTGGGGATGGTTGGGTAATACTCTGCTGCACAAAATACAAAAGGTTGAAGTGCAGAGTCAGAGCCACTATGAATGGTGATGGACTGGCAACTTACAATAATCCTCCTACAGCTGTCTGAAACAATCATGGTGTCCCAAAAATTGCTGCAAGACTGACTGGAGAAATAATCTGCTCAGAATTGCAAAGCAGAAAAAATCAAGGCTTAACAATGGGCCAAATTGTCAAGAAATGTTGGGAAGATGTGAGTATATCGTTGGGGGCTCCTTGATCAAGGACCAGAAAAGCTTGGAGACCTCTTATTGGCCAATTAAAAGTTACTCTTTGACAAGGCACGCTAACTTTTATTTGCCATGACAGGAATTTGCTGCAGAATGGCTGCTTCCATTTTCGTTATTTTTACAGCATTCATTTTGAGTCGGAAATTCAGTGAGAGGGTCCCATATATGTGCATTCTGTAGAATCTTGAAGTGATCAGTTTCAAAATTTGTAGAAGTGCATTTTTTGAAGTGTTTTTTCAGTGCATACAATTTTGATTTGGTTTACACATTTCTTCACAGGTTTTGAGTATTTTCAAAAAAGGAAGATTTGCGCATCTTTTGATTTGTTTTGACAGCACTTTTGTTTTTCATGCATCAAATTTTTCGAGAGTTCATTGCAGCTGTGTTGCTGTTGTTTCCAATGGCCAGGTTGGATGAAGGTTTAGATGATGTCTTGGGTATGTCTTCTTCTGAAAAAGCTCCAAACGTCGTCATGGAAGGTTTGCTTGCTTTTTTCTTCCTTTTTCAAGGATTTATGTTTTTCTCTTTTGTTTGATGAGTATATTTTCAACTCCCTACTTTTTTGCTATTCAATTTTTTAATTCTCTTTTGCAATTCTGGCTATGTTCCATTTGCAGAGAAATTTCAACCTTTTCTCTGTTTTTGGTTGAAAGTGTAATTGCAACCTCTCCTTTGTTCTTCTTGTTGAAAGTGTAATTTCAACCTTGCTTTCCCTTTTTCATTTTTTATTTGTTGGTGTATTATTTTCTTTTATTGTATATTGATTGTAATTCAGATGTGAATTTGTAGTTAGGTCAACTCCTGATTTGAGATGGACCTGAGATTGCTTTTATGGAGGAACAATCAATAAAATTTCCGTCTCTGGCTTCTGCTGTACAAATTTCATTAAAACAAAAAGAATTATACAATCTTAAGAGTGATCTTTTGCTTTTTTCAAAGTTTTTTGTGAGGTGTAGAATAAATGATAGACACAGCAATTGGCCGGTGCGCAACGGGCCGAAAGTTTTTGCGCAAGCTTTGTTTTCACGTCAACAATTTCAAGCAGTTTTGTACAACACTTCTTTTCACAAATACTTTTCTCGGAATAAATGTTTGCAAAATATTGAAGCACACACAGGATGTCAGTTTGGATTGAAAATGAGCATTCAAGTGAGTTTTTCTCCTCTTTCGCCCGTTTATATATGTCTCGTTTCCCTTGAGAGAACTATTGCTGTGTATATACGCCGTTCCGCCAGAAACGGCTGTTATGTCGTATATTTTAAGCTTTTCAGAGTAGAATTTGGGCATGACAAATTTAATGTTTCCTGTCAAATCTCTTCTACGGGAACCAAAAAGTTGTTTGCGTCTCACGTTTTTTTGACACATGTTCCATTTTTAGTGTGTTTTGAGGAACCAGAGAAGCAGGAAATTAGAGCCATATGGGGGTTGTAAAATCTTGGAGTTTTCTGCCTGTTTGACAGGCTATTTGTCTCAGCCTCATGGGGTTTGTTGCTCTGGTCCTCTTTTCATGTTTTTGTGCCGTTTTGTGTGACAGTCTTTCATTATCTCTACTTTGTTTGGCGCACCAATTTATGTCGGCACATTCTACTCGAGTTTCAGAGTCAAAGCACGGGGGGGGGGGTATTTTTTGCGGAAAATCCCCACAAAATCCCCCCTTTGTTGAGATGCCAATCCATATGGTGTGGATTGCTGTCAAAAATGAATATTTAAGCGTAGCAAAAAATTTGTCATCTTGCAGTCTTCTCTTGAAAGTGTTCTTGTCCAGATCTGTCTTGGGGGAATACTTCTTTGGAGTTCTTGTACTCAATGAGGCTTATCCTTGGTCCTTGTTGAGGAGGAACTCTGCTGAAGTGTTCTTTCTTTTGAGAGAATGGTCCTCACATCCCTCCATTGCCCATCTGGATGATTGGTTCTACTTGTGTTCAAGCACACACATATATGCGCTGGCCAGGCGCTTGTTTTGCGTGTCTGTGATTCCCCTCTTCCCATTTTGAATGGGATTACCCTATTCAAAGGGTTGTGTTTTGAGTCTCAATGTTGACACGTTCTGAAAAATGCGTCAATCTTGTGATGCGTTTGTTCTACCCTCAATTTTGGAGAAGGGTACAAGTTTCCTTGGATTTGTGAAGTTTTTTGAAAGAAGTGCATTCCTTTCCAAGTTTAGAAGGGTTTTTTTCTTTTCGCATTAAGTTTGGCGATGTCCCGCTGGCAGGATGTGTTCTTTCCTATTCTGTGCAGTGGCCCGTCAACAATCTTTTTTGCAATATTTCCTCTTTGGTGATCAAGTTCTTTTTAGTGGTTTTTCCTTTCCTTTGCATAAAGTATAGGGAGGATCCTTTATATCAATTTTATCTTTGTTTTGATAGGTTCAGAGTTGCATTTATTTGTTGCTATTACGTATTTGCTTATAAAGAATAAATGGAAGGTTTGAATGAACAGATTGGAGTGGGGCTTGATGCCCTTGTTGAAGAAGGGGAGTGCATTAATTCCTCCGATATACATTTGGGAATACTTGGTGGGTTTCAATCTTTTAGAATTTGTCTTTAAAATAAAAAGGGAAATTAATTTTGTCATTTCTTTTTAGCAAATTTCGAACAAGATTCTCTTTCTGTGGGTTGCAAAGAACCTGCGGCCAAAGATCCCCCTGAAACGGAGGTAGTTGTTGAGCTTCCTATTTCTTCAAAGGATCTTGCTATAAAATTAACTTTGTTGTCTGAGGAAAGTTTGACTCCTCTTTTTGAGTTGATTCCATTTGTGGAATTGGAACATAAGGCATCTTTGGGAAAAGATGGCTTAAAGGCGGAAGTTCAGAGATTGAAGGTTGAATCTCAGCAATTTGTGGAAAAACTCTCCTTGTATTGTTCTGAAGTTCATCATATGATAAGGGAGGAAGTAGATTTGAAGATAAGGAAGAAGAAACTTACTTGGAGTAAGACAACCAAGGAGAAACTTTGTTCTGAGGAAATCAGGCTTACTAAGGAGATGGATGGAGTCATGTTGAATAAGCTGGCCTGTCATGCGGGAAGCTTCAATGGACTCTTGAGTGGAGTCACGGATTTATATTTGGCTGAAAATATTGGATATGTGGAGGTTGTTCAGGGTAAGGAGTTAATTCTGTCCTTTGTTAGAGGAGGTTTTTCTCTTCATACTCATCATTTTTCTTTAGACGGAAAGCATGGTCACGTTTGCTCTTGGCATGTCGGGGTTACCATGATTTATTCAGGATCCCCTGCTGCCATACAGCAGATATGGTATGATGAGGCGCGTTCCAATGCAGCCAATCATCAGGATCAAGGGGCAATTTTGGCCGTGTTGGCCTCAATTG